TCAGTTTGTTTATATGGTGGATTACATTGGTGGATTTTTGTATGTTGAACCAACCCTGCATCTCTGACTTGAAACCTCCTTGATCATGATAGATGATTTTTTTGATGTGTTCTTAGATTTGGTTTGCCAATATTTTTTTAAATAATTTATTTAACTTTATTTTATGTGCATCGGTATGAAGGTATCAGAGCCATTGGAGCTAGAGACAGTTGTGAGCTGCCATGTGGGTGCTGGGAATTGGACCTGGGCCTTCTGGAAGTGCAGCCAGTGCTCTTAACCACTGAGCCATTGAGTAGTTTTGCATCAATGTTCATGAGGGAGATTAGTCTGTGGTTCTCTTTCTTTGTTGCATCTTTGTGTGGTTTGGCTATCAGGGTTATTGTAGCCTCATAAAAGGAGTTTGGTAATACTCTCTTTATATTGTGTGGAACAATTTGAGGAGTATTGGAGTTAGCTCTTTGAATTTTTGGTAGAATTCTGTGCTGAAGCCTGGTTTTTTTGTTTGTTTGTTTTTTGTTTTTGTTGTTGTTGTTGTTGTTGGGAGACTTATAATGACTGCTTCTATTTCCGTAGGGGTTATAGGTCTGCTTTATTTGTTTATCTAGTCTTGATTTAGTTTTGGTAAGTGAAACCTATCCAGAAAACTGTCAGATTCTTTTAAATTTTCCAGTTCTGTGGAGTACAGATTTTTGAAGTTTAATCTGATGATTCTGTGGATTTCCTCAGTGTCTGTTGTTATGTCCCCATTTTCTTTACTGATTTTGTTAATTTGAATAATCTCTCTGCCTTTTGGTGTGTCTTCCTTGTTGGTATTCTCAAACAACCAACTCCTTGTTTCATTGATTCCTTGTATTGTTCTCTCTGTTTCTATTTTATTGATTTGCCCTCAATTTGATTATTTCCTATTGTCTACTCCTGGGTGAGTTTGCTTCTTTTTGTTCTAGAGCTTTCAGGTGTTCACTAGTGTGGGATTTCTCCAATTTCTATATGTAAGCATTTAGTGCTATGAATTTTTCCTCTTAGCACTGCTTTCATAGTGTCCCATACATTTGGGTGTGTTGTACATTCGTTTTTTTATTGAATTCTAAGAAATCTTTAATTTCTTTCTTTGTTTCTTCCTTGACCAAGGGGTGATTCAATTGGGTATTATTCAGTTTCCATGAGTTTGTAGGCATTCCAGAATTTTTTGTTGTTGAATTCTAGCTTTAAGCCATGGTGATCCATTAAGATACAGGGTGTTATCCCATTTTTCTTTCTTTCTTTTTTTTTTTTTTTGATATCTGTTAAGATTTGCTTTGTGACTATGTATGTGGTCAGTTTTAGAGAAGGTTCCATGGGGTGCTGAGAAGGTATATTCTTTTGTATTTGGGTGGGATGTTCTATAGATCTTTCTCTCTCTGTCTCTCCTGGGGAGGAAAATGTATATACATCCCAATCATGGTCCATCGTGAAGGGAGTTTGAGGTGGCAGCTCAAGTCAGGAAACTGGATGTATGAACTGAAGCAGAGGCTTTGAAGGATCATTACATACTGACTTGCTCTTCATGGCTTGCTCAGTCAGCTTTTTTTTACAGCACCCAGGACCACCAGCCCAGGGGTGGCACCACCCATAGTGAACTGGGCCCTCCATGTCAATCATCAGTTAAGGAAATACACTAGAGGCCAGTCTGGTGGGGGCATTAAATAACTCCAGCTTGCATCAAGTTGACATAAAACTAGCATTTATTTTTCTTAAATGTATCTGTCACAGATCAGAAGATTTTAATTTTGATGAAGATCAGTTTGTCAGTGCTTTTATGGATAGATATGCCATATCTAAGAAGTCTTTGCTAGATTCCCAACTCATGAATGTTTTCTCTGTGCTTTTTATATAAGTTTATGCTTTTTATACCTTGAGTTAATTTTTGTGTAGCATTTGACATTCAGGTCCAGATGGAATGTTTTTAAACTTTATTTTATACATGGATGTCCACTTACTCCTCCATTTTTTGAATGGATATAATGTTAGACATTCAGGTGGTAAGGACAGATTTTGTGTGTGATGGAAAAGAAATACTTTATTTTAAAAGTGTTGGGTGGGGCATCCCCAAAAGTCTTTGACAGGTGTTCTGATCCTTTGTGATTATTTACATAGCACCCACTTTCCAGGAGATCTCACAGGGTTCTATTTATTACTTGTAGTCCTGGTGATTACATTTACATAGCTGCATTTACTTTTGCAGTGCTGAATAGTTTCCATGTATGCTAAGCAAGTGCCCTCTCTTGAATTAATAACTCTGTCCCTCATATAAATCTTAAAAATCAGTTTGTTTCTATTCATCAGGAATACTTACTGCAACTATGTTAGATCCTTTTGCAGAAAATCCTTTTGGTGTATAAGGTAGGGGAGTTAGGTTCTAGGGATTAAACCCAGGGCCTCACAATATGAGATGGCTATAAATAATTAATTTATTTCCCAGTATTTAATTTTATTGTATCTGTTTCTACTGATACTTGGGTAGATGATTATTATTGTTTGTGGGAACTTTGTATCTTGCAGTTCTGCTGAATGCATTCAATAAATTAGGGAGAGTTTGTTTGTATGCTTTTCCTGTGTGTGTGTGTGTGTGTGTGTGTGTGTGTGTGTGTGTGTGTGTGTGAGTCTGTCTGTGTATGTCCCAATGAGTTTCATTAAGGTTGCTTAACATACTATCAAGTCATAGCTCACATGTGGAGATCAGAAGACAACTTGGGAAGCTGGTTCTCTTTTCTACCATGTGGGTCACAGGATTGCACTTCAGGTCATCAGACTCAGCAGCAAGCATGCTACACAAGCCATCTTGTCTGCTGGCCATCAGAGAGAGAGAGAGAGAGACAGAGAGAGAGAGAGAGAGAGAGAGAGGGGGGTTGTTGTTGTTGCTGCTGTTTTCGTAGGTAATTTAGCTTTTCTGCATTGATAATCTTGCAGTCCTCTTGAATTTTTTTCTGAGCTTCGTGTTGTCATCAACTTCAACTACAGTCATACCAAATCTATGCCCAGAACTTTCTCTTGTTCCAGTCGTGTCTGTTTTTCTTGTTTTTCTCTTTTCTTTCTTTCTATTTTTTTTCTTTGTACTAAACTTTATTTTTTTCTGAGAAAGTGTTATAACTATAGAGGCAACTAAAACTATGGTCAGTTTCTAGGTATTTTTTTAGCTTGTTTTTGGGGTGGGGATTTTCTAAAACATTATGAGTAAAAGAGTTATTTACATGTTCAGTTTAAAAGCTTTTTTGCAGGGGAGGGAGGAAGTCCTTATTTGATATGACTATCTTTAAGATACCCTATCTCTATGGGAAGGCCTTTAAAATATACTTTTATTTGATATGTGCTGCAGGCTAGATTAACTTTTTTTTTTTTTTTTTTTTTTTTTTTTTTGGTACACAGAAGTCATTGATTGTGGCAGCATCTGACCCTTGACTATAATTTTTATTTAAAAGGCCAGCAGCAACAAAAGATCTTACAAATTCTGAAAACCCTTACCTAACAAGGCCTATGCTTTAAAAGGATTTCTGTCCTGTAATTTGTGGAGCAAATAGGATTTTTTTTTTTTTTTTTTTTTTTTGGTTTTTAGAGACAGGGTTTCTCTGTGTAGCTTTGGAGCCTATCCTGGCACTCACTCTGTAGCCCAGGCTGGTCTTGAACTCACCGAGATCCTTCTGTCTCTGCCTCCCAAGTGCTGGGATTAAAGGCGTGCACCACCAACGCCCAGTTTAGAATATAATTCTTAGTTTACTTACTTTGACTAATTGTTACCTAATATATTTATGCTGCTATATCAAACTCCCTTAGCTTATTTTCTTTCTTTTCCTCTATAACTCTATAGTCTCTTTTTTCCCCCAAGAAATTATTATTTTTTATTAGTTTAAATTAGAAACAAGCCTGCTTCACATGTCAATCCATTCTCCCTCTCCCTCCCCTCCCCTCCAGCCCCTTAGCTTATTTTCAACAGTATTTTATTTTTCACAGCTTTGGAAGCTAGGATGTCTAAAATGAAGGTGAGAGCTGATTTGGTGTTTGATTAGCTGATGGTGTTCCATTCCTCATAGATGGTCCCAGTACTCTGATCCTTACCTTCTTTTATAATGTGTTTGAACCTTGGTTCATATTTGTTCTTTTGTTGTTGTTCCTAAAGAATACTCCCATTGTAAGTTTTTCTTAGTAGACTGTCTTGACCTTGTTGGAATGTGACTGTCATTCTGTCTCAACAACATAATGTCTTAAATATCAGTAAGATTTTCATGAGAGCTGAACATTTTCCCTCTTCTAGAAAAGCTGAAGGGCTTATGCAGTGGTGTTTTATTTTTACTTGGTCTTTATAAAAAATACATAACAATTTTCACACTTAATCACTTTGAAATCCTTTTTCATAAGACCTCATTTATGGTTACCTTCTGTACTGTTTCCCAAATACTGAAAAATTGTACCGTGTAGTTTTGGCCATTCCAGACTAAGCTATATCACTCAAGATTTTTACCACAAAGACAAATACAAAGTAAATCCATGGGGACAAAAACAGTAAATGTTTATAGTGCTAACATTTGTCTCTGATTATTGGTTCTACATCTTCATTAGGTGATTTCTATGAAGTTGCACTAATCTCTTAGACCCTCACTGTGCAATTTTTTCCTGTTTGAGAGTTAGTGAATTACCCTTTCAGTGTGTTTGTGAAGTTTAAGAAAATAATTTCTAAGTCTTACAACATAGTAGAACTGTGCTCTGTCATGTACAAGCACTGTTCTGATTTCCTTTTCTTCTGTCTGCACTCCCTCTTCCCTGAGCTAGCTATCTCTTCTTTGTAAAGATCAGGGACTAGGAGTTAGTGGAGTCAAGACATTTTGACTCCTTGGCTGCAAAGGAGTCAAAATTTATTTTATTCTATAATTTTATTTGGGAATAAATACAGCATCTGGTTTTATGATCATTTTCTTTCTTGCTGAGCATCTATGTAAACATGTATTTTCTTTTCTTCCCCCATCTTCTAGTTGCAGCAATTGGAGCTCGCCCAGATCCAATACAGAGATGCTAATCTCACAGCTCTTGCAGCTATTGGACCACGGAAGAAGAGACCACTAGAATCAGGAAATGAGGTACTGATAGAAGTGTTTGTTATTTAATTTTTTTAATGTACAGAAAATAAGTCAAAAAGAAAACAAAAGATACAAGACATGGAAATAGTCTATCCTGCTCTATATGCTACCAAACTTTTCTTGAAATTCTTCTTTGCCAATTTTATTTTTAAATTTAAATTTTTAAATTTTGCCAGTTTTTTTTTTTCTAAAAAAAAAAAATGTGTGTTCTTTCAGCTTCATTGTTACATATTCTGTCCTCCTTTGTAGTCATTCTCTCCAGGTATACTGAGTATTACCCATTTTTAAAAATCTCTGTATTCTAACATTTGTAAATACTTAGTTTTGACATGTGTGCAAGCACATGTGTGTGTATGTATGTGTGTGCATTTTGGTGCCTGTGAATATAGATGACTGTAGTGGACAGAAGGTGTCAGCTCCCCTGGAGCTTGTGTTACAGGTGGTTTTGAACCATCTGACATGGGCACTAAAAACTGAACTTGGTTCTTCTGCAAGAGCAGTATATACTCACTACATTTATCCAGTGTTTCTTTCTGGCTCAGTGTAGCGAACTTCTCTACTCTACCATGTTTTCCCTGTTCTGATGAATTGACCTCTCTGGAACTGAGATTGATTGAATCTTTCCTCTCAAAAAAAGATAAATTTGGTTTAAATTTATTTCTAAATCTCTAAATAAGAGCTGAAATGTCATTTAGCCATGGTAATAGTGCATACCTACAGTCTCAGTGGAGCCAGGAGTTAACAGCCAGCCTTGCTTATATAGCAAATTTATCTCAAGGGTGGGGAAGGTTGTTAATGTGCATTTGGTTTTATCTCCTTAATTCTTAACTTACTGATTTGAAATGCCACTTTTATCAAATACAATTTTGAATTGAATTCATTTGTATTAGGATCATTTATGCACATTGTGTAGCTAATCTAGTAGAATTTGTTATAAGTAAAAATGTTTTGTGTCTGTTACATTTGTTGTTTAGTTCTGAAATGAAGCTAGCTGGCATAAGGAAGAAAATTCTCAACTTTTATATGACCATGAGGTTTAATAGGCTACCGACTATTTTACTGGGCAATACAAAAGACTATTCTTCTGGTATATATTTTAGTTTGTTATTATTGTTAGTTCTATAGATTACATTGAGAGCGCCACATAGTCTGTCAGTGAGATACATCTTGGCTCCTGTTTATCTATTAATATTTTATTCCTGAAACCTGTTTTTAGATACTGTCTGAACCATTTTAAATGTATAGGTAATTAGTATTAAACATATTCACATTATTGAAAGATCACAAATACTTTTATATCTTGTAAGACTAAAACACTATACTGATTTAACAATTCCATATCTCTCCATTCCCTAAGTCCCTTGTAAACCTCACTCCACTTTGCTTTTATGCTTCTATAAATTTGACTACTCATAAGTGGAATTAGACAGTATTCTTCCTTTCACTACTGGCTTATTTGACAGCTTAATGTCCTCAATGTTTCAGATCCTAATATATTGAAACATATGATAAAGCTAGTTCAGCAGAGAAATTATTTTCTACTTTCCTAGCATTGGGCAACCAACCCACTACCCTTTGGTTTTTTGCTCATATGTACATAAGTCTGTATAATTATCAAGATGGAGCATGATATTTCATTAAGTATATGGCTATGAACAGGCCTTATTACTATACTTTTTCCTTTTGTGTCAAGTAAGTGCTTAATAGTTTATCTTTGTCATCATAATAGAATTATCATTGTTTTAGCTCAGATGGCTCAGGGCGAGTTTGAAATGCTGACCATTAAACTCTAGGTCAGTGGATCTCAACCTTCCTAATGTCGCAACCCTTTAATACAGTACCTCATGTTGTGGTGACTCAACCATACAATTATTTTTGCTGCTACTTCATAACTTTACTTTTGCTACTGTTATGAATTGTAAGGCAAATATCTCATATGCAGGATATCTGATATGCAACCTCTGTGAAAGGATCATTAGACCTCAAAGGGTTATGACTCACAGGTTGAGAACCAGTGCTGTAGGCCCTCACTTTAATCTCATTTGACTTTGTTGCAAATTTTAGAGATATTAAATCCTGATTTCTTGTAAGATTTATTTTTAAATTTACTTAGTATGTATGTATATGTATGTGCACATGACACAGCATTACTGTGGAGGACAGAAGAGATCTCGATAGAGTTGGCCCTTTAATTCCACCTTTATTCAGGTTCTGGGAATGAATTTAGGTCTCCATGTATGCCATCTCACCAGCCCCAATATATTTTTACATGTCTTTCCTTCATTATATATTTATGTCTTCAGGTCTTTGGTAAGAAATGAATGTGCCTTTAATGTTCCAATGTGAAAGTCAGTTTATGTGATTTGTCTGTGTTGACTTAATTTTTCCTGGAGAGAAACAAATATCTGTCCTTTCCAGTTGGGTACCAACGACAGATCAAAGTACAGTTCACCAAAGTTCAGCTTGTGGAGACCAATGAGCTTAGTGGGCTTGCTTACACAGCACAGGTGAGGAGTTACAGAGTCCTGAAACAGCTACATCATCTCAAAGTTCTATCCCATAATGGATGGTGACTTTCTCTTAGAAGCTGCATCATGAAGCTATGCTTTCTATTGACCTTACTCTTGTATAATCTAGTATCTTTTAAGATGCCCCACCTGTGACAGGGAATTCGAGATTAGGGATTTGTGACACTCCTTATCTCCCTTTACTAGCTGTGGCAATGGCTAGTAAAGTCCAAGATGGCAACATACCATGTAGAGGGGAAAAAAAAAAAAAAAAAAAAAAAAAAAAAGAAAAAAAAAAAAAAAAAAAAAAAAACACTGTACAAAAAAAAATGCAAAAATACAGCACTTTCTGTTAGGTATTCAGATAGAACATTTTAGAATAAAACTTAGGGTCCTGTTAATATTAGTGATTGTAGTAACTTATTTTCCACCTAACTCTGACTTGTTTCCAAGTTATTTTAGGGTAGTTTGGTTAGGAGTGATAGCTTAGGTAGGAAGAAGAAGATTTTTAAAAGGTTATGAATGAAGAAACAGCAATAAAAGTAAGGATAAATGAATGATGATGGTATAAATGAATCATATTTAAGAATCCTTTCTACTTGTTTTCTTTGTCATTTTTGGGTACCCATACCTAGGCTCCAAAACACAAAAGTCATATATATAGTTCTACCCTACTAAACACCTCTAGTCATATGGACAATGAGATGATCTTATTAGACTCTACTGTATTTTAAATTAAAAATACAAAGATACACCAGGGTTTAACAGAATTTTTTTTTTGCATCTGTTATATGTTAAATATAATAACAAAGAAATAATGATAAAACAACAGCAGTCATTCCAGGGAAAGGGAAAGCTAATACATGATTTCTTTCAGGAATGAGGTTTATTTGGAGAAAGGCCCTCCAGGCTGTGATGGGGCCTCAAGGTGGGAGGTGAAGCATTAAACAGTAAATGGCACAGCATATGTGGGAGTCCAAAGCATGATGAGGGTCTTAAATGGAAACAGCAGCTTCTTTTGAAAGCCGGGAGAGCAACTTCATAAAGAGCAAGAGTAAGAGAAAAGAAAATAGAAGGGGGAGGGGAGTATCAGACTTTTCAATATAAGTTTTTTGGGTTCTGGTGGGAAATTTCACATCACATGAATTAGGTCAACGTAGAGTATGTGAACAAGAGCATGGAAGAGCCAGGACCTGGTTAGTAATGTAAGTCAGGGGCTGCTATTAGGACACAGGACAGAGAGTTTTGTTTTCTCAACTCTCTGTTAGGAAGAACCTTCAGGGAAGCATGGCCTGATCTCACCACTGTCTTAAAGTGGCAAGCATCATACAATTTTATATATATAAGAAGTTAACTGAGCCTGTTTGAAGAAAAATTGAAAGTTACTTATAAATCAGTATTAAAGTAGTACAAAAGTAATAAAATGCATTGTATGTTGGACAATTAGTTCCTGACCCCTTAGATAGCTGAATAAAGTAATTAACATTGATTTATAGATAAATTAGTATTGAGTGCTTGCTATTTTAAAATCTTTAATGAATTAATTACCTCCCCCCAAGCAATTGAACCCAGGGCTTTGTGTATACTAGGCAGGTACTCTACCACTGAGTTATAGCCTCAACCAGAAAAAAGAAATCAATTTTAATTCTTCTGAAAAAGAGAAAAATATTTGAAGTCCCATTAATAGTCCTAACTCTCTTAGACATTGCACTAATTTTGGGGAAAAAATTCTCAGAATCATAATGGAACAAATTTCCCTTTCTTATTCCTTGCGATACTGTATTCAAAACCAGTGTCTTAGCATGTTGTAGGCACTTAATAGAGAATTGCTGATTGGAGTCCTAGAACTATTTTGGTTTTAGGAAGAAATCTGTGAAATAGATAGCCCCCACTGAGCTTATCTTTACAGCAGTATTCCTTTCCACCTCTCATTCCTTTTATTTCTGTACTTTGGCAGTAAAAGCCAGCTTTTAGTCCCTAGAAATGGTGCACTTCATTTTACAGAAGCACACAGAAAATGTTCAGCATAGGTTTCCTGCTAATAGCCAAAAAAGAATTCAAGAGAGGCTAGATGTTATGTCTTGAAAAGACCTTTAAAATGCAAAGTTGAGTAGAGTTCTATCCAACATTGATGTACCCATACTAAGTAGGGGGGAACATCAGGACACTGAGAGCAATCGATTCCATTGCTCATTGATTCTTCAAAGGTACATGAGTCATTTAACTAGAAAACTATTGACATGAAAAGTCCAGATTTAATTTTTTATTTCCTTAAGGGGCACAGATAGTTGCTACTTTTTTACTGCCATCTGTTTTCATCAGGCTACCAAGACCAGTTTTCTGAGTGTTCCTCATGTACATAAAAATAAATGATAATTCTTAAAAAAAAATTTTTTTGAGAAAGAAAGTAGTGACCAAAATAAGCAATAAGGACTAGGGAAATATTTGAGCTGGTACCAGTATTCGAAGCATAATGACCTGAGTTTGATCTGC